ACAAAGCAATCATCAATTGAAACAATGGAGAGAGAATCATCAAATTTGTAAAAATTCTAACAAAAATTTACAAAAATTCATTATCTTCTTCCTTTTATCTTCTTCCTCTTCTTTTTTTTTTCTCTCTATCCGGGTTCTCCGAGAACCAAAATCGGGGTTCCCGGAGAACTCCTTGAGAACCCAGATTTGGGTTCTTAACCCAGCTCGGGTTCTGAAATTTTTTATCAGATCTGAAAAAATTTTTTTTTTTTTGCTCCAGCTCTCTCGGTGGAGAACCCGAGCTGGGTTCTAGACTCCTCCTCCTCCACCACCACCACCACCACCACTGCCGCCACCAAGAAAACCACTACCACGACGGCCACCGCCACCTCCAGCTCCACGAGTTGCTAGCCTGTCTGATACCATGGATCTTGCTGGAATTAGAAGGTCAGATTGGAGCAACAGAAACGTAAAGAGAGAGAGAAAAGAAAAAAAAAAAAAAAGCAAGAAAGAGAAAGAAGAAGATGGAACGGAGTTAAGTATATTAACGGAGATAACGGAGATAACGGAAATTAAAGTTAGGTGTAACGGAGGGTGTTGTCAGATGGGTGTCCATATCAGCGTCCTTCCAATAAAAAGATCGAAAGCATATTGCTCCTAAAATTTTGGAGGACTTGAGCAGTTTCTATTTTAAGTAGCGGTCCGAAAACTTTTTATATTCGATTACCCATCCTTGTGCAAAGAGATCGATTAACATGTCTGCAAAACATACAAAGTCCCCAAATTTATGTTTGGGATTTGGTTTGGTTCTTGAAAAGTAAAATAAAAATGAATGTAATATTAAAATACTGTAATGTATCATTAAATAAATTGATACATATAATATTTTATATTTACATTTTATTTACATCAAAATTAAGAATAATACAAAACTATGGCTAAGTATATTGACCAAATTATAAGGGGAAGGTTAAGAGTTTTCAACATGCCACTTGAGAAGGAACACTACTAAAATTCAAGCCTTCAGCAATAATATATCAATAACATGGGATCCTTTGTTATTGAAAATTTGTATCAACAACAAAACTCACATTGCTGAAAGTTGCATAGTACATTTTTCCATTAAAAAGTTGTTCTACTTTCAGCAACAAAGAGTATGTTGCTGAAATTCACTTTCGACAATCATTTTCCCATCTAATTAAGCTCCACTTTCAGTAAGTCACATAAAAAATCACATTTTAATAAGTATGACAAACTAAAATTAATTGTAATGCTGATTTACTATTTACTTAAAATGCATACTAATCGTTGTAACTTAAAGTAATAAACAAATAAAATACTAATAAAAATTATTAACCATGCCCACACAAGTTGCAATATATTGCCTTTCCTTACTATTATTTAGAGCTGCAAACAATGTGCTTATGCAGCGCCATGCGCTAGACGGTGCTCCACCGCCTGTAGGTGGTGGAGTTAGGCAATTTTTTTCTTTTTTAGATTTTCTTATTTCTTCATTTTGTGATAAAAAAAAATACCTAAAGCGCGGACATTTAGAACAGCTCCTACCGCATTTTTATCTGTTTTGAAATAAGGATAAAATTGATATATTATTAGTATTTAATATTTATTAAAATAAAAAGTAAAAAAAATAAAATAAAATTAAAACATCTCTATTTAAAAAGTGCAACAATTAAATATTGAATGTGTGGGTATATGGGGAATGAGTTGTTAGTTGATAAATATCCTAGACTATTTTTGCTTTCAACAAGAAAATACAACACAATCTCACAAATGGGCAACTGGAACAATAGTGAATGGAGTTGGACACTGCAGTGGCGTCGTAGACTATTCTCATGGGAAGAAAATCAATTGTTAGAATTGAAGAATGCAATTGAGAGTGTAAGTTACACTAAGGAAAGAAGGATCTGTGGAACTGGATTCATGATAAAAAAGAAAACTACAAAGCTAAATCATGATATTTAATTAATGCTAACGGAAGGCCAACGACTTGACTATGGATGGCCCTACAAAAAAAACTTTAGATTTCTAGACTTTCAGCAAAGGTTAGTGGTTTTATGGGGTAGCTACTGTAAGACAGGATTGCAACTAAAAACAATCTATTTTAAACAGATACTTTGATTGATACTGAACAATTAAAATACGTACTGTCTTTGTAACAGAAAAGAGGAGGATGCTGAGCACTTGTTTTTACATTGTAATTTTTGTAATTTTACTTCAAAAGTGTAGAATATGTGTTTGAAATATGGTGGGGAATAGTCTCAATCACAGCTGGGGGATTCTCGGGGCATTTTAATAGCAGTTCTCTTTATTGAAAGATAAGAAGGTCACAGAGGGTTAGACAATTGTATGGGAACGGGAGGCTCTTAGAGGATAAAGAGACAAATGAAGTCAAAGTTTTGGAACTGGCAGAACTAAGAGTATTTTATTGGATCATACGGAAATCGAAGGTATCAGTGTTTGGGTTCAAAGATTGGATATTGAAACCCATTGCATGTTTGAAAATGTGAATCGGAAGCATTGTAAATGTAGCAGCTGAAGTTTTATGCCGAGGCATTATTAATACCTTTGTTGTACTCCCAAATAATAAGACTCATTTTTGCTATAAAAA